GTATATACTTGTATAGGTGTATAGAATTATAGTAATATAGACAAGGATACTTTACATTGAACGATGATCATATTAGCAAATAAAAGATATCTCTTACATACAATGCAGTGCCAGCCTGAGTACAAACACATCAAATCTGGCACATACACATACCATCAGGAATTTCAATGTTGCCACTGGGTCGTCGTCTCTTACGACCTGTTGTTTGTCAAAGACCCTCTTTTGCACTAAATAGTCTTCACCGATTCTATTGACCAGATCTGAGGGGGTGGGTGTATATGCTCGACCCCCTACGACACAGTCAGTCCTACCTACATTCCTAATTTCGGTTTCATACGCACTCGCCCCACTGGCCGTGACTAGGGAGGCCAAATCGGGGTGTTTCAACTGCCGAGCTAATCCAAACCCCTCGCCACCGTCATCCGAGTCAAAGTTTAACTCGAAGTTCAACTCAGGTGTGTCATTTCCGTCAGCACACTCATCTGAGATAGACCTGATGATTGAAGGTATATCTGGATGCGAGTGCGTATTGCGAAGTCCGTTCGCTGCAGACATATGTGATGACACCTCTATACTATCACTATCCACCCATTCACCTGAACCATCACTATTTTCTTCCTGAATACCCTGTCCTCGCACCACGTGGTCAGGCCGTACTAAATGACTTTGTAGGCTGGCACTGATCAGTGCACCCAAGTGATCCTGCGATTCGCCCAAACCACTGCCCATAAAACCGTCATAGTCTAGAGACCGCCGGGCGTATGCTTCCAGCAATCCGACAGTATTGGCACCATTATCACTACTAATCTTCCTAGTGTCGGCCCCTGCACTCTTTGATAACACATCTGTATGCTTGTTTCGAAATGTACCTGTACCTATAGGCCTTGAAGAGGCCAATCCATGCTGTTTCGTCGTGTGTGTATTGATAGCACCAGCCCCAGTCCCACTTAAACTCTGTTGTTTCCTGACGTGAGCAAGGAATGGGTCTTCTTCGGGCAAATCTGCGTGTTGTATGACGACTTCAGATATGTTTCGCCATATACGCGCTGGCCAGGACGCCTCTTTTTCCGCATTTGTCTGGAAGAATAAGGGCTCTATAGTTACTTCATCATCCTCTTCACTGTACAAACGGGGACGGGTGATTGTGGTTTCAGTACCGCTGTCAGTAGTACCCGCACCCTGTGAGCTAATACTGCCCGAGCCCCCAAACCAGTTGCGCTGCAGCATTGCCGCCGTACGTATCTCTATAGGCTCGTGTACACGATTGCCGTAGACTCTTGCAACTCGCCCATCAGCATGTAAATATGCACGCAACTAACTCACATACACCAGCTGACCAGCAGTCTATTGCTATTCTCCTCCGTAAACGTAAAATAGTAAAATAGATAGTATTCTGATACACGACCCTTTCACAAATAATTACACGCATTCTTATTTGTCGAACCCGGGGTGCTGAAAATGCTGATAAAAATAGATAAACGCGCTAGGGCCCCTGGCGCGCGCCGATGCGGCCTACGGCCCGGCGCGCGCGCCCCCTGTCCCGTGTGGCGGTATGTATTCTTCTGATCTCTTCGTACCCTGTCTTGGGCTCATTGTGACCCAAAATGCATACATGCCACATATGTGTAATTTATATAAAATACACGACTTTTTCTCGTCAAAATGTCGATTTGTTGTTGAATCAAAATATCTCTCGAAGCCTTCTGAGCAGTTCAAAACGAGCACAAAAGTGAACTTGATTACGCTATGTATAAATATTGTCGAAGATTTGGTGTTGCGAGTCGAAATTACCTCGGCACGTCCTATTATATATTGTTTTTAAAAGAGCATACATAGACTCGTTTTCGAAAGAAAAAAAGTCTTTATTCTCGTATATCTACTTCATACACGTATCAGCTACATATGTGGCTTTAAAGGAAACTTCTACGCCAGCAAAGGAAACTTATACGCCAGCACAAACGTAGGATGGCAAGTTGCTATTTTTAAATACACCGCTGTTTGCCTTATTTTGCTATCTTATGAGGTTTATGAACAGCATTCAAGAAGGAAATGTAAAATATTAAAAAAGTTCGGTATTTTATTATATATAAAAAGCGATTATACGTAGAACTTGAAGGCTCTATGATTTCAAATTTAAAATTTCCATCATGTTGGCTGTTGCATTTCCATTTTTTCATTGCAATGCTTTGAATTTTTGAAAGAGGCGGGAAGCAACAATTGAGTGGGTAACCAATAATCATTGGCCAATTTAAACGTTGAATCTTGGGCATTCCGAATAAAATTCCGCATATGGTATTTATTTTTTTATAAAGTATTTAAAAAAGCTCGAGTTCTTTGATATGATTTTTTATATATGTATTTGTAGTTGATAAATGATGTGTACGCATTTTATGTAGGCCTGTAGAAGTGCTTTTCTGACTAAATAAAGCTATATTTGGTCGTTTTGCGACAGGTGGCGCACGGCCCCCGCCCCCCGGTTATGATATGGGTAACAAGATACATATATAAAATATACCTAAGATTTTGAACTTTCGTTCATTTTGCAACACTACTTATCATGACGAAGTTCTTCTTGTCGGTCTCCCTTGCTGCTTGCATCTCACTGAGTGTGGCCAGCAACTGTCAAGGCGACCAAAAATATGGTAATGCGTGAACTGAATTTTTACATACCTAAATAGGTATGTACGCCGAAATTGGTCTTTGAAGCGGTATACCGGAAGTTGTCAAAGCTATCTTTGAGATTTATTTGTACTTGCGCACGTACCTCAGCTTCCATTTTCAACGTTATATTTGATACCTATTACTAACCAGATGAAGGCAAATAGAATGACAGCCTTGATGTCATCTGTGATCATTAGTCATGAATTCTTTATTCCTGATTTTTGTACTTATATAATTCCCGCAACATACTCTGTTATCCATCAACTTGTAGATCAGGGAGCGCAACAAGCTGTTGTCCAATGGTAAGTCGCTATCGCTCATTGCAGAACGCCACATTTTCCACGACACCATGATCTTATCTATCGACTAGTTGTCCAACATGACTTGCTATCACATATACTCAATCTACAATATTGCAGGGAGGCAAGTTACAAGTACGCAGGTTGTGAAGGAATCGAGAACAATTACGAGATTGTTGGCAATGCCGCCCCAAAATCTCCACCATGCCTCAGAGAAGGCTTCTTGGATGAGCTAGATATGCTCTACGACAGTGCTGCCGAAGTTTGTGGTGGAGGTGCGTCTGGCACTGGGGGGATTGTGTATCTTTTGTGAAGTGTTTGTCTCCAACATTTGCTGCTTTACAGAATGTAATATTGAAATTGCATCGAGAATATGTGTGGTACTTGATATAGTTATGTAAAAACAACATTGTCTCAAATACAATATAAATTCTAGATCTGGTCGTCTTATGCTAAAAAAATCGAGATTCGATGCAATTGAATCAACAAATAACTCCACAAAATAATACATCTAGGAAGCGTCGATTGTAGCCTTGGACGCACGGAGGCCAACCATAACTGGGATAATAATCTGGACACGTATGAAGATGAATGTTCAACGCTAGATAAGGTTTTTGAGGAGAGCAACAAAGACAGCCCCGGCAAAGTATGATAGTGTTGCTTGATTTTTAAAGCATAGGTTCACCAGAGTATGAAAGCTTTTCTATCTGAATCTAGATGCGATCTTATCAGAGTTTCGCCACAGACATCAGATATACCTAGGGGTCGCTGTAGATGCTACAATGCTATCAACTTGTCTGTATATGCTGTCTGATGCATTCATGGTGCCTATCAAACATAGCCTGACAACTCTCAAACTTCGACTGACGGTATTTTTCTTTCTTTAAACAGAATGATTGTTTTAAGGACGAATATGACGAAAGAACACAACAACTATACGAAATCGGACTGAAAAATTGCGTGAATGAATGTCGGGTATGCACTATTCCAATTCGATTTCTTTACAATGCATAGGCCGCCACTACAGAACATGCTACAGAACACGCTAGTGTGATACTTAAATTCCTTGTATTGCTAATTCGATCACATATCAGGGATGGGGATATCAACAGGGTGATAGCCTCGCGAGTACATTCTGCGCGGTAAGTCGGTGGTGTTTTGGCGTTTGGCGCTACCGAATTGATTTTTTAGAACAATTTTAAAAGGTTCGTCCCAGCAACGCATCCAATTCACGATGTCCAGATAGCCGGATACATACTCGGATGATCTTTTGCTGCTCCGTGTACCGTTATATCCCTCGATTAATACTTGAGCATTTGAACATGTATATGGTTATTAGGTCTGCGCATCGGGCGCTGCAGTTGAATCGTTCGTTGTTTCCAACCCGCCTGCTAAATTCTCTCAATTTTTCAATGATCGATCTATTAAACTCAGTTTATTCGTTTCGCACTTTAGGTTGCTGCATTGTACTCTGATGATCAAAGTCTAGTAGAGCAGATCTGCAAAGGAGTAAGTGTGAGGCTGTCAATCTTCAATGCATCTCACGTTCATAATCAGTCTCTTCAGAGGAAGGTTTTTGGTCTCGTTTGTCCGATCAGATAGGAAGTATATTTTTCAATAACATTTTTGACGAGGACTCAATGTATGAAAATATTGGTCTTTGAATCTGACGTGATACTTGAAACTCGGTACTTAAGGAAAGTCGGTGAGCGCCGGGTTTTGGCATATGACTGTCCTTAGTATCCGCCGCGCATTTGTGCTATAAAGTTAGGCTCATCTCCTTTCTCTCGTGAAAACGGTATTCTGGGTGTGGCTTGTACAGGAGGAAATTGAGAAATGCAAGGAACGATTCCGCGAGGCGGTGGAAGAAGACTGTCCAGAGAAGCTTGTTGAGCAGAACTACGAATTCTATGACGACTTAGAGGAAAGTTGCGAGATCGCCATTGGCCCTGGTAAGTGGCGGTTGCTATGGTGCTCTCGTTTGAATCATATGGTTAAAAAGGTATATATAGACTCGCCAATACCATCAGAGAATTCGAATGTGTATTCGGGACTGAAGACTTGATACATCGCTCCAATCACAGATCAGCCTATGCCGACCACCAAGCCTTATCCCGGGGACCCAGACTATCAGATGACATGTAAAGAGTGGTATGACGAAAGCAAAAACAACAACTGTAAGGATTCAAATGGCAAGACGCTAGAGAAAAAGACGGGCTGTTGCAAATACAACTACCGTTGTGGCGGTTGGCCGAAATGTACTGGTATGTCTTCCCAACTAAATTCTTTGTTTTTCCTGCTACACGATGTGACATTCTTGTTTTTTCGCTCATTGTATTTGCGCCTGGTACATCGTAGGCTGTACTCAAATGCCAGCCTACGTAAACAAATTGATACGTATGAGACCAGTAGTGTGTACGATTGCTGCCCAACTATGAATTCAGATGCGGCAAGTGGTGAATATCGTTTTATAATAATAAGCTTGTATATATGCTTTACCCACTCCACTACGACAGAGATCAACTGCTGCACACGAAGAGACTAGAGGAGCCTTGCAACATATAGGACCATTACGCAGTTACACTTCGCAAACGATACAACTCCACTCTTCGAAATTCGAAGAAGGATGATATATACACTGGGACAGTACGGTCACCCTTTACCGGTCCAATCCACTAAAGGCGAGGTCCTCAGTAGATGCGTTTCTGATGCAGCGTGCATACCGCACGATTATCAATTGATGAACAGAAGACACGTGTCACAACTTTAAGCGGCAGCCACATCTCTCAAGCAGATCTGTATCTGAGACCAAAAACAAGCCATTGCGTGCTCAACCTATATGAGACCATACATTATTCCAAGTAGAAAGCGCCGTCTATAAAAGAGTTGGTTTGATTACTGAATTTCTGCGCTCCATGGGATAAATATATAACATACGACTGTTGCGTGTACATGTATGAATGTATGTATATCTTTATAGATATGCATGTCTAATACCGGTACGCTACGCGAGCACAACACTAGTGTTTCGCTATGGGTGCTGGGCGGATCGTACTGAGTCTCTATTTGAACATGCATGATACTCAGTACCAAATACTGAGAGCAAAGCGTATACGGTATGGCGTAGTGATCTACCATGGCCCGCCATCAATACCAAAAGTAATCCGTAAACGCAATGAGCGGTACTCGTAAATTCGTAAGCCATTCAAGATGTTACTACTAGGCTATACTCTGCATCGTTCGCCCTTGCCCTGTCCGGTGGTCTTTAGCGTATCGCATTGCAACTGACAAGCGCTGCACCGGGGCGTGCTTACATCTTCCCCAACCAGGAAACCCGACCCAAAGTGCTACGCCTCTGCAGCCTACAGTGTCGTCGAGCACCACAGTGTATCTACTATCCTCAGGTGGTGGTTGGTACCCTTTCTTAATACCTTTAATGCGCCGCAAGTTTCGCCATGTTTGAGTATCCCATACACTCAGCGGTACAGCGCCATGTGGGCAGTCCTAATATTTGGTCTTTTGTTGTATAGAAGGTCAATGTGCGTATCTCTGGACAGCAACAACGTGGTGTGCTGCATTTTTGGGCGTGCATAGCTCGCTCGATTACATTGTCGAATGTCAGATATCCAGTTCTACTCTCATCTAAGCTTTTTATAGTATGTCGTTCTGGTCGACAGTACTATATTACTACGTTTCAAGTCAGTGCATGCGCCCCTGGGGCTTGCTTGTGGTGCAAAGTGGACTATGTCGATCAGCGGCTTTCACTCCGTCACCGGGTCAGGCTGGTGAAATGTCGACTAAAGTATTTGCGCGCAGACTCTTAGCAGCCCTCCGATCCGCAGCCAGTGCCGACCTCGAACTCTCGAGCCACATGGCTCATCTAATTCGCTTCTCTTATTCATTGTACGTACTCGCCCGCCGCAGTATACCTATACTATCCACTGTATTGTCAGTCGGCCCAGGCCAGTCTGCGGGCACATGGTTTTGGCCGCAAAGGTTAATACCTACTTACTTATCCCTCTGGGTGATTCTAGTGCGTGCTACGTATGCACATAGTCCACTCATGCTTTCCGGAGGTCGTCCAATGCGCCGTTGACGTATTTGCGGTGCTCGACAAGTATCCGCTCGCACTTCTTCTTCCACTCAATGGCCTCTTTCTCCAGCTTCGTCACGTCGTTCAGTCTTTGGCGTAGAGCCTTCATCTTCTCTGTCATCTGCGCTTCCTTGTCTGCAAACGCACCCTCCAGCTTGGCCTGCGCGAGATCTCGGGCCTCCAGATCCCTCTCGCTGCGTTTGACCATGCTCTCCCGTTTCTTCAATTCTTCGATGGTTGAATGAACGACCTCTCCGTACGCATGCGCCTCTTGCATCTTGGTTTCCGCCGCGATTTTCTCCTTCTCCACTTCAGCCCACAGAGTGTCCCGTTCATATTCTCGGTCCGAAATGAACCGCTCCCGTTGCGCGACCACACACTCTCGGTCTTTGATCCGTAGTACTAACAAGCATGTGCGCTCGGCGGCTGCGAGTGCACTCCTCTTCAAGCGCGTAACTTCTTCCCTGAGCGACTGGTTCTCCTTCTCCCTCCTGTCGACGGTCTCGGATGGACTATCTACTTTCATGTCAGAGACTACCGCCTGAGGCCATCTATCTACATCCTTCTCAGAGAAGACTATCTGGCTGTCAACATCGATGATGCCTGTACACACAATATACATCAGGAGATGAGGCTAATTTGTCCAAGAGTTGCAACACTGAGAAACACGAAGTCATTGAGACTGGTGCCACTCTGATATAAATATATACATATATAAACTTCGAATCATCCATCACAACTCTATTAAGTTTACTGTAATACAATCATCTCAGTGATATGTGCTACCCTACCTGTGAATAGGTGCATCACCCAACGTGCAGACACCAACCACATCCTTTCCAACACCCCGTGTAACATACCTTGAGCATCCTCCTTCGTGCTCACTACCAATAGTTCTGTACCTGTAACGGGACGAACTTTGGATTCAATTTGTCGGCGTGCAGATGCGATCATGATTTGAGGTGGCAGGTTGTCAGTGCCGTAGCCCTCGCTGTCTCCGTCGCTGTCCTCTCCGCTACTGCTGCCCAATGCGAGGTTCGAATCTGGAAAGTAGATGCGAAGGTAGGTTAGGAAACAGGGTAAGGAAT